AATTTCTTAATTTTTTTATTTAGCATATAAAAAGAAAATCGAAAAACTAATTGTAGTATTTTATAGTGTTCACGGAATGTATTATTTTAATTTTAATTTCATTTAGACTTTCTTCGTTAATGAACATTTTGCTCGATAGCTTCGACAGAGGCATAAAAAATGCTGATTATTTATATTCTTAAATGGAAACGTATCGTTTAGCTATATATCTTTTATAATTCAAGTTCAATATTTTGTACAATTCTTTTAGTATAATCGAATATAAATAACATCGAGTGTGAAATATTTGATTAAGCATAAATCATCGATGGGAAACGCAATTACAATGTATCGCAACTATATTTATTATATTTAAGTTACAATAAAAGTCTTGTAAGATTTGTGGCTAAACTGTCTTGCTTTAGTTGACAATCTACAAAAAACTGATGTAATATGACAAAAAATGCACGCGTTGTTTCTTGAATCACTATAAAAATATGAAGAAAAATATACAATATAAAATATACAAGATAAAAATATGTGTGACATAAATTATACAACTGTTTTTAAATTCTAGTTTATTATCAAACAATAGTTAGAAAATAATTAAAAACATAAATTATAAATACTTTATGTTTATGCAAGGAAATCAATCTTGTAGTTTTAAAAGACTTGAGTAAAAAACAGGATGCTTGAAAAGGACTATTAGTGGACGTTATGCGCAAATTATTGTACATGTGAGTTTATAAAATTCGTCGAATTGGTAAGACGATATGCTAACACGGATATTTGCTGTATGCATATATATGCATATACGCACACAGAGTCCATTCATAGCCTTGCTTCCTATCGTTTAGCACGAAATGATTTTATAAAAAGAATCTTCGTTTAATTCGAATTACGTTTTTCAAGTTTCTTTTCACTTTTTACATCAGGATTTTCATTACTGGTACTTGTACATATGTACATAAATTATATATACTTCTATATAAATATAGTAGCTTCCAACCGTGTTAATATCTATTGTGACAAATTGTCGTAATGATTCAATTGCATTTAATTGATCGTTCGTGCGAAAGAAACCGATCTTTGTGCAACATCTTGTACGAAAGATAATTTTGTTTACAACTAAAAACTAAATTGGTTGTGAAATAAAAAAGAAAATATAAACTAACGTTTCTTAAAAAAAAAAAAAAAAACTGTGAAAGCTTAGAATCAAGCGTAATATGATACGATACTTAATTGTATTTATTAAGCTGCATAATGCATTCTATATCTTTCGATAGATGTATCGAATTCCATTTAATGTTAGTAATCCATCTGACAAACCGTAGAAATAAAGTTTCAACCAACTTATCAATATACAACATCGAGTTCGAGATCGTAATATACCAATGCCAATGATATGCTTCGAATATATTTAAAAGTAAATACTTGATCATTATTACGTAAATAATGATGGAAAACGTTCAATTTATTCTCAACGGCAATTGTAAATTTTGTTCGTGTAAAGCTGCTGATACATCTATAGTCATATGACATTGGTCGATAGTTTTCGTTCCATTCTACTGATCGTTATATTTACCGTTACTTCACAGAGCGAAGATAATTCTTTTAACTCTTTCATTTTTACGTAAAATTTCTAGTTCGAAAAAACAGTTTGTGTATAAGTGGAATCCAAAGATGGAATCGAAACTGATCGAAGCTTTTGATTCAAAATTTAGTTGTCAAACGTGTTCTGTATGTAACCGTGTTCGATTTTTAGAAAATTATTTTCTAGTAATCGTATCGTTTGAAGTAGCAAGGCTCTACCTAATCCAGATAGCAACAGAATATCACGGAGATCAAGATATACTGGCTCACATGGAAAGTACAATTGGCTTAAACGAAATACGCGTTGTAGAATAGTCATTGCTGCTGTTCGTTCAGCAATTCGTTAAGAAGTCGTTATTCGTCTATTTGTGTGTCTATACGTCACATTGCGTCCATCATGAAGTATCAAAAATAATCCATGAAATTTGCACGAGAGTATGAAAATCAATATCTAATGATTTATCCATTATCCATGAAAATATATATTAAAAATATATTTCTTAAGAATATAAACTACAGGGTGTTTCAGATTAAAAAATAATTTTTCATATTCTTTCAATCAATTCAAAATTATCGCGTAGATCTGTTCTATTAACAGATAGTTTCATTAACATGATATAGTAAAAGATATAGTAGCTAAGTGGTAAACGATAAATTTCTATTTGTAATTGAAACGGAAAACCACTTGCGCATGGTGTCTTAAAATACACGGTAAGACTAAATTTAACATTGAGGTGAATCTGGAAATTTGATTCCTGTAAAATAAAAGTAAACAAGAGATTTTAAAGTTAATAAATTTAAATATGAAAAATAAAAATATTCTTAGGATCACGTAAAAATTTTGTATACCTCGTGCATTTTTGAATTTTTTCTTTTTTACAATAATCAGCAATTCGTTATGTGTTTTAACTATTTTAATTATATGTATTATATATTTATATAAATAGTTAAATAGTTAACGTTAAATATTTATATAAATACTTAAATCATTAAATAGTTAAAATATATATCGTATATTATTATAATTAATAATATATAATATATTTCTTCATTTTTTTTTTTTGACTCAATTACTTATACTTTTATTTGACTCGATTATAATTTCTTTTTATTTTATTAAAGTGAAATGATATATTTTAAAATATATGTTAGTATATGTTATATAAATTTTTTACTATTTATTTATTTATTTATATTTTTTTTATTTTTTGTATTTATCTATTAATATTAATAAATGTAAAATTAAAAGGAATAAAAAGAAAGATTCTTATAAATCATAAATAATACAAATTGTTTTTCTTGTTTCTTGTTTCTGTGAAATAAATAATATCAGCCAGTGATATAATATGAATATTACTTGTCTTTGTTATATTTTTATATATTGTATCATGGTGTTTATATAAGAAAAAAACAACCGATTACAACCGTAATATAAATTACGTTACGTCCTGTATATATCTGTAATTTCTTGTTTTACAATTAACATGAGTCTACATCAACAAGTTATTTGATCGATGAATTACGAAAATGTCTTATTAACGCTAGACAATTAATTTATGATTTCTCATTCTAAATCATTTACCGAATTAAAGATAATAAAATCTGTTGTTTTGTAGATACATATTGCATTGCAAATGCGTTTAGGCTTTATAATTTAATCATTTTCTACAAATTTATTAATTGTTTCAATTCTACAAAAATTATATATAACTCAAATCAAAATCAAAGTCTTGAATGAAACGTCTTCATTTCAATGAAAAAGCTCTTTCAAGAACGAAAATTGTATTTATGCAATGACCGAAAATAAAAAAGCGCGCGAATTTTATTAATTACGAATAAATGGTTAATCTTTCTATGAATAGTAATTATTACACGGTAATAGTAATTGTAAGGAAAAATGTCGCTCACCTCGTTTGAAGGGCGCGACATGCATGACTCTAAAAGGGACCGATAAAAAGGGCGGACTGTGAGACCGCCTCTCATGACACTACGGCGACTTTTTGAAGCAACCACTGTCTCTGCCGTATACACAGCTGTTTTTGGCCCGCCGTCTGCTTCTTTCCTGCGCTAAATTCGCTCGCAAATTTTTAGTTCGTGTTTCAATGGGCGACTTTTACGTACGCCCTTCCTTCTCTCTTAAATTTTGAACAATTACGATTTGTCTGAATCAAGCTGTAGTCTTCTTCTATTTAAATCGAGTATTTTCAAATTTGAATCCTTTCGATAACATTAATCGTTTAATACAAATTTACGTGCCTTCTATGTAACTATACACTTACATACGACTCGCACCAATCTATCTCTGACGATGAACTGGATGTTCAAGTTTAACAGAGGGAGACGTACCCGTTAAAGAACGAACGAGGTTAGGAAGGGGAAATTGGGAGTGCGACAAAGAAAGAGAATATTACGAGCGCCTAGCGTCGGCGCTTAAATTCGCTCGATATCGTTTTTCCCTATTTCGACTTTTATTATATATCTATAAAATATTTTTTATATTTTAAGTTATTCCGTTTTTAAACGGAATAATTAATATACTATAACATTATTGTTTCTATGGCATTATTGTATGTTATTATATATGTTAGTTTCAATAGATATTTACAAATATTAACGTTTACGTATAATTAAATAGATAAATGTATAATTTTATATACAATTATATATTATAATTGTATATTTCACAATTTTGAAATAAATTATTAGATAATAAATAATACATGGAATATAAATAAAAAGATAAAGAAAAAGATTGCAGGGTTTCTATCGATACAAAATATAAATGTATATAATATATTATTATAAGTAATAAAATGACTTTTTTATAACTTTCTTAAAGAAAATAATGTACGAAATGGAACAAATACAATATCATTTTATACATTCTAACAGCAAATAATATAAATACAATAACAAGTAGTATCAGTATAACAGTAATCATATTTTTGTAATCATAAGAATTGGCTGTTAAGTAAATTTCAACATTATTGACTAGGTAATTCTACTTTGTAATTATAAATTATAGTTATAGTTATATTCTAACAAATTATAATATTACAGTGGTATAAAAATTATGTTTTTAATATATTAATGAAGTACATATCAATATGAAAATATATAAATCTGTAAGAAAATGGATTATTAAATTATTAATTACAAAATTGGAAATACAACAAAACATATTTTATAATATATATAATTTTACAATAGAAAACTTAAGTTTCATTCTCACGTTATTACAAAATATCGTGTTATCAATTGTACACAATAATTAATTTTAAATATTTTTTAACAGTGATAAATGCAAATATAAGTTTATATTTTTTTAAAAAATAATTTTTAATTTACTCCTATATTTTTTAATTAACTGTAAACATCTTTGTACATACAATAAGAATGGCAAATGTAATCAATGTATTTTTAAAATATTTTAATTTTAGAATCTGTTCAGTTTTAGAACTGTAGTTCCTTTGTTTCAATGGAAATTTGATGTCAATATGTAAATAAAATTAATTTATTTTTGTACTTATAGTTAATATATTCACGTTATTACATATGCATGAAACACGCACACTTATGATTATATATTCCAAAATTTAAATATAACAAATGAATTTTATAAATGTTTTTATACTAGGCCAGCTTATGTGTGCAATTTCATATCATAAAACAAAACTGTGCAATATATGTAATATTCTTTGATTAATTATTTCGAATTGTTTATATATTACAAATTACAAAAGAAATAAATATTGGGAACAATTCAATGTGCCTTAATAAAATAACGGTAGACAAGAGTCGCCAATACCCCAAGAGCAATTGGAATCAGCCACGATCTCCAAGAACCACTGCAACTAGCAATAATCACATTATGATACAGAACTGACTATTTATGTTATATATTTTGAATTTTAATAACTCGTGAATTTGCGTAGCATAATTTATAAGACAATCATGATGACTACATGACAAAAAAAAATATAAATCTATTGTTCTAAGTATTATTTTATAATAAAATTGGATTTTTAATTGTGCTATCCGATATAAATAATTGAAGAATAAAAGAGTACACCAAAGATATTAGTAATAAAATTATATATCTGTAATATTTTAGTTAGTATATATACATTATATGTAATTATAATATGTAATATTACACATAATATATATACACACACACAATAATTAACTAATATGTATGAAAAAATATACCTAGAATTATCTACGTCAGACACATCGGTTAATTCACTGTTCCCCTGTGTTCTTTCCTCCTAAAATTAATAATTTTTTATTTCTTAATCATTGTTATTGACAGCAGGAATAGAAATTAGTAGTAAAAATATAAAATTATCTTAAAATTGAATCTTACACGTACTTCTACTAATTCGCCAATTTTAAATATCTCCATTAATTCTCTTGCATCACTTGAATGGCCAATGTCTTCAAAAGCTTCTGTACAATCTTGACCACCCTGTTCCAAAAGAACTTCTTCTCCACCAGGATGCTTAAATTTAAGATATGAAATAAACATTTTTATACGTGATTCTATTAAAAAATGCTATAAAATAAACATTGCTATAAAAGAAATAATGTAAAGTATATAATTACACTTATAAATTGAGTCACATTGTAAACTTTATTGTGAATAATAAACCACAAATCTTTACTATCGTTATGTTTAGCAACTTCTTCCCGCGTATAAAATTTGGTATAAGCAGTATCAAGAGTGTTATTTTCGGATGCCATATTTTTTCTTTGCAGTAAATATTTTACAATAGATATACGAGTATTATATAGATATTGCTGAAGGGAATGAATGAAATATTCAATATATAGTAAATGACGTATATAAGAGTATTATTATGTTAAACTTAGTTCGAAAAATACAAATTACGCAAAAATTTATTCCACTTGTTCAACTTATACTTTAGTTACGACTGTAGCTACAGTCTGAATTCAGTGAATCGGTCAGTGAATGTTTCGAACCTTGTACTCATGATAGTAATATTAAGCGCCAACGAAATCTATAAAATTATTTATTTTTTAAAGGTTATCAATAATATCTTTCTCATGCAAATTATTTTAATCGAATTTTAAACAACATGATATTAGAAATTATAAACATTACTTCAACAATATAGGGATGCATGTTTATATGTAAATTAAATATTTTAGGAATATTTAGATAATATTAAATTACAAAATTTCAATATTTTTATAACATACTGCAATAATATAAATTAAAAGTATTTATTGATATATAAAAACTTATATTTAAATATAAAATATAAATTGTTTCAATTCTTTTTATATATTTATGCGATTATTTTTTATTAGTTTTTACTGTCCAAAATAGTAAAGTAAACTTGTGAGTTTTAAAGTTGAACCAATAGGAAATCGTCGTTTTAAATTAATGGTTACAGCACACAGTTTTTTAAAGAATATTAATATTTAGATCAAATGTATTTTTACTGATGAAATATGAACAAATAGTTTTACGAATAAATTTATTTAATATTTTATTTTTCAATTATGCATTAATAAGTAATGTCTAAATTTTGTAGAATACAATTAAATTTATAATTAAATAATAATATAACATGAATCTTACCGGCATTTCATCCATACTTATTGTTATTAGTTTATTAATTACTTGTATAAAATGTGAATTTTCATTTATGTCAATGTTATCATCTGGAGTTGATAAAGTCAGTAATACAATAAGAAATATACAATGTAATTTTGGAGAATGTTGTACAAGCGAATATATTTCTCCCGACATTGATAGTATGTATATAAGCAGAAAATTTTAAGGTTATTTATATTGTGTTTATATATAATCAAATTAACTCACTGTATATGATAATTCTAGAATTAGATGATATTCTGAATAAAGAATTTTATGGACAAGAAATTGCTCATCGTGTAATTATAAATGCTCTACGTGGACATTTAACATCAGCTAATCCTCCAAAAGCTCTAAGTATGAGCTTCCATGGTCCACCAGGCACTGGTAAAACTTATACAAGTCAACTGATTGCTAAGTTTTTTTATAAAAAGGGTGATCAAAGTAATTTTTATCACTTTTTTAATGGCCGTAATGATTTTCCTCTGCAAGAAAAAGTGAATGAATATAAGGTATGTTTTAGCTGTTATTAGAAAATTATTTAGGTTTAAATTTATTTTAATATATTTATTTAAATATATTTTATATTACGCAGGAAGAATTATACAATATTATTATTAATAGTTTACAAAAATGTGAAAGATCAATGTTTGTATTTGATGAAGTGGATAAAATGCCAGAAGGTTTACTAAATGTTCTTGTACCATTTTTGGACTATAATACATGGATCAAATCATGGAGATTTACAAGCACTTCTATAAATACAAGGAAAGCAATTTACATATTTTTATCCAATACAGGGAGTTCACGGATTATTCAGCGTTTACTAACACTTTGGGAGGAAGGTAAACAGAGAAAAACAACTAAACTTCAAGATTTTGAAAATTTAATAAGTGTTGGAGCATTTAATGAAAAGGGTGGTTTTTATCATAGTGATACAATAGACTCTAGTGTTATAGATCATTATGTACCTTTTTTACCACTTGAAGAAGTACATGTGAAGAAGTGTTTAAAAAAAGCTTTTATAAACAGAGGAGTACATCCTACTAATGAAATGATAGAAGAAGGATTATCATATGTAATTTTTGGACCTCCTCCACATAATATCTATGCAACTACTGGCTGCAAAAGACTAGAACAAAAAGTAGCTGCTATTATATATGCTAATAAAAAGCACAGAATAGAATTATAAACATAGATACATATTATTTTTTTTCTTTGTTTAATGTCTCGATAGAATCTGAGTTTTATTGATTATTCTCTTATTGGCACAATCAGAAAATGTGTAATAATTAAAAAAATAATACAATTAATTTGTTACAATAATACACATAATGATTATTTATATGTTTATGTATGTGTATATTTATATTTAAGAAATAGCTAAAATTTTTATTATCAACAGTACAGAATTACAATATATACAATTGAGTCTTGGCAATTGACTGATTCAAAATATGGTCATAAAGGTGAAAGCTGTCCAGAATTATAAACATCTTGCGATAAATTTTTTGTATGATTCTAATATATAAGAATATATAGACAACTTTAATCTTTATGACTTTTCTAAACTTTATTCGTACTGTTATATTATACTGAAAATAATTTTTTTGATCTATATAAGTAGCTAGATATTTGTTTTTATGCGTTCGGTTTCCGTATACGAATATGTACTTTCTATTTATATGATTGTGATAGAGTACAACCTCAAATAAAGAGAACAAAATTTTATTTTTATAATGATACTAATATGTGTGAAGATAAATCTTTCTATATTTTATATAATGTAAAACATTTTTTTTTGTTCTCCATTGAGGCATAAATTTAATAGAATATGATTGCACGATGCTATGATTAATATGTAAAATATTTTTGATCGTCGTGCTACCATATAAGTAAAATATCTAAGTAGTATAATTTATGGTTATTCTTCTTCAACATATTCCTTTGGAAAAAACCCTACTTGATCTCCAATTTTTCCTTTCCACCAACCTTTGGCATCACCTTCCTTGCTCAATACCACAACTCTGCAACCTCGCCGCAGACTTAGTTGATTCCGTTCTCCTCCGCGAAAATCAAATAATGCTTTAGCCAAGACACGTCTATATGGCCATAGCAAGCGTTGATCTAACTTTTCAAAATTTTCTGATAACGATGCCCGCTCATAATATTCAACAAGTTCAACTACGCTTTTAAAAAAACGAGATTCACTAAGATAATATACGTCAGCACCATCAACATTGCGTTTAAATACTCTTATATGTTTTACTGTTCCGTCTGCTCTATAATATGAGATTAATGTTTTTAAAAATACTATTTATTTCAACTTAATATTAAAAAAAAAAAGATGTATGTGAAATTCTTACTTTATACTAAGAGCATAATTGGTTTCGTGTTTCAAACGTGGTTGTCCAGCAGGTCGTACTCGCAGCATATAAGTACCATCTTCACGAGGTTCTAATTTATTTGATGCTGTATCACGTCCCATTTCTCCTACAAACCATAATTTCACCGAGAGGGCACGTTCACATGGTAGAGGTGGTGGAGGCGGAGGTGGCGGAGGTATTGGCATACACCGACCCGAATGTGCAATGCATTGTTTATGTACAGCATAACGACAAGTCTCACATCGATATCCCTATTTAAATGAATAGCTTATTAGGAAATTTGTATTATAATATTTAATATTTTACAATTAATATTTTACCTGAAAAATTCGTCCTTTTAAAAATTTACCACATCGTTGACAACTACGTGGTGTGTCAAATGTTGTAAGTTTAAATTTATGATTTGTATTGCGACATGCGGCGGGATTAACATTATCCATTGCATCTTGCAATGCTTTGATCCACATTTGCTTTTGTTCTTCTGTTCTTGCATATAAAGTATATGCAGTATATTCTTGTTTATGGACCAACAGCCATTGATAAGACCACCGAGAATCTCTGCCAAGTGTTCGTCTTCCTGTATGATCTTCTAACCGATAATCATCAAGACGTAATGTCTCACGATAGCAATATTGTTCTCCTCTACCCGCTTTACAAATTAATACTACTTGTTCGAAAACGAATGCGTAACGAGCTTTTACTCGCTGATCACCGTGAGCTTTTACCTAAATATAATTGCAACATTTTGTTGATGTTTAAATTTCAAATATATTATTTATATGAAATTATTACTTTAAGCTCTCCATCTCTAAGTAATCGCCCAAAATCCTTTAATTGCACATCCTCTGGAACATCCCAATCAATTATTGATGCTTGGATATCTCTTATAATGTCCAATGTGTCTGAGTCACGTTTTATTTCATTAATATATTGTGCTATGTCAACCATTACTTCTCTAGCTTTTCCAAGTTGACGCCTATCTTCCAGCCAATCACAAGGAGTTTCTTCTACTAGTTTATCAAGCAATAAGTGATATTTTAATATTCTTTGCATTGGAACAGATAAAATATCTCGCAATTTGAATTTGCCATTATTTGCTTCTTGTTGACATCTCTACAATTACCATTTTCATTAAAAATAAGACATATAAAATATCATACATTAAGAATAAATATCAAAACATACAATAACTTCTTGATTAACTAATTCATAACGAACACATGCTTCTTGCAATGTGCTTTGAGCGAGGGTAAGATTTGCACAATAATCGCCATAAATAAGGAATTTTTCTCGCCAATCGAGAAAAACCTGCGCTAAAGCGGCGCCGGTCCTTGCTTTCCGAAGTTGACTATGAAAACCAGCATGAATTTCTGCAAGTTCCTTTATACCAAAAAAAATACGTGCAGAATCTTCGGGTCGTAGTAACGGGGAAAGGGGTCTTGCGAAATGTTTAAGTAAACTGTTAAGGACATCGGAATAATTTCGTTCTGTTTCAACAAGTTCTTGTATTACATAATCCCTTTTTTCACCGCCACAGATTGCACCATCCTGTTTCATAAAAATCAATTGAAAATTTTCTTTATAGGAAGTAATTATAGGAACACAAAATACTATAAGGCACAATAAAACTAATTATTAATGTTACGATTTAAAATGACATTGGGATGAGTTTTTGATGATCGCATGCATTTAAGACAAATGCCAATATTTAACGACCTGTGCAACAGATGGAGGAGGTGGCAAGTGTAGACTACAAAGGTCCTGGTAGATTTCTTCACTTTGTGCATGGCTGCAATATGCTCCATATCCATCTTCTTCCCCAACTGGATCTTCATTGTCGCCTCCTCCACCTGCTTCATTTCCTTCTCGCCTTCTAAATCTTCTGCGACGACCTTCGTCTTCACGGCTTTAGCATAAAAATATGAACAGCCATGCACTATTCATGCGTGAAAAAAATAAAATTTCTTGCGAACTTAAACTATTTGTAGCAACTGTAGATACTGTTACTAATAAGTATAGTTAGCACATAAACTTCAAAGAAAATGTTGAATAAATTTTAAAATAGTGCCAGTATCACTGTAGTGAGTTAATTTTGCAGTAAAAATAATTTGTAAATATTTATTTATGTATCAAATAAACAATGGAATAATACATAATATAATAGAATACAGTGATGTTTGGTACTTTTATTGTAAATTTAAACATTTAAGTTGCAAACGACAGATACCTTCTCTGTGGAAGGCCAGTCGTGCTGAGAATTACTCGAGAAGCAAAGTAATTCCTGATATACTTGGGATTCATCTACATCCATACCCTTAGATTTCATGGTAAATGTCCCCACTCCTGTTGTGGGACTAAACCCGTTGATATAAGTTATTATAAATGATTTGATGTTTTTTATAGATCAGTTTTTAATCTTAGATCAGTTTTATCTTAAGTGAAGTGTATTTGTATATTTCAACCATAAATATATTCAATAAATCAATATACTTCATTGAAATTTAAATGCTTACCCTGCACCAGCACTTTGTAAGTCCTTATAAATATCTTCTTGTGATCTACCATGACCTATAGAAAAACCTCTGTAACAAATATTTGTTGACATAGTAAAATAATATAATTTACAGATATGAAACATTATATGATGATTATATAATTACTTACAGTATACCTTTACGTCTCAAACGAGGACAATTTGATAAAACTGATAAGGTATGTAATACACGAAGAAAATCTGATAAATCAAATAACATAGAAGGTTCAAAAAGTTCAGAATCAGTTAAGCCAAATGTAGTTGAACATGCTGATAGAAATACTTTTATATTTCTTAAGCATAAAAATTGTGCCATTTGTGGTTTTTGATTTACATCTTTCATATCTATACAACCAGGATCCACTGTATTTAGAAGATTACATAGTAATACACCATCTCTTAATGTATATGCTAAATCAACAGCAGTAGCCTCTGGCCAATTTGCTTTATGATCTGCCCTCAAAGCTCCACATCTTGTTAACCATTTAACACATTCATGCCAACCACTTCCATTATCTATTCGGTTCATTTTTGTTTAATTGATTTTCAGAACAAAATATTAAAAATTTATGATGAATATTATTTCAATGTATAGTGCATTAGGCCATAAAGATTTCGTTAATGTATTTTCTTATATTAGGAAACTGTAAAGATATAAAAATATGATTCAAGATAACAGTTTATATAAATATACTTTGACAACTAAAAAAATAAATAATATCATATCTAAGAATGTAATTTTAATAGATAAAACTCCCAAAATTACATCATGACAAAGAAACATCGTAAATTATATGTTATTAAAGTAAATTTTAAAGTAAAGTATTTTTGAAAATATACCTTCGTTCGACGAAGAATCTATAAATTGTTTCTTCGTTCTTCTGTCAGTGTTAAGAATATTGTGTATAGTTCTATAAAGGAATTCATTATTTTGTTTCGTGTCGGGTTTTACAGATATTTCAACGGAATCTGTAGTGCCATTTAAAATGGTTTATTGGCAGTGTCATTGCTACGAAAGCATTTGGCCGAATTATAACTTTAATATACAGTTATTACTTCACACAATGTTTCTTGTTTTGTTCATTGTAGTATTATAACTTTCGGCCTGCTGCAACTTATGATCGCCATATTGCTACTTCACTGCAGTCGATCATATAATAAATCTCAATGCAGTGTTTGTTTCACGTATCGAACCGCAGATGGAGTTAAATGTATAAGTATTTGTATAAGCATTGATATAAGTAAATATATTTAAAATTTCAAAAACTCAGTCATTTCGAATTGTTAAACTTGATGAATATTTGCAAAAATGCAATTATTTCTTATCCGTTTGTTTCCTATTTACATTTATTTTTATCCACATATGGTACAAGAAATTAAAAATACAATACTATATGCTATATCTATTGATATCATATATTAATGTAAATATAAAAATAACAGTTACACATTTACAAGAATTATATTCACTATTATAAACATAAGAAACATTATTTAAAACATTAACTCATATGGATACATTAACCAATCAACCAATAGGATAAAGAAACTCTAATGACGTAAAGTGATGTTTCATTCAGTTACTCTGACAGCTGTGCAGTGTGTTGATGATAGTAGCGTCACTGTTTAAAAGTCGTTACATCTTATTGTGTTTTATTTGTGTAATACAGCAGTTTACGGTAAATGTATAGAGATTATTTATTATGTGTACAATTTACAATGACAGAGAAAAGAAAGTTTAAGATCAAGTTCGAGTATAAATGAAATTTCTATCGAGCGAATATTTTTTCGTATTAATTAATTAATCGTTCGTATATTTTACGACGAAATAAATATATCTTCTTTCTTAATAAACATTACTTCTTTTGTTAATTATAATTCAGTTTTATGAAACAATTATGTCTTTTTTGTTTGTTTTACTTTTTAAACTTTAAACTTTGTCTTATTCTGTACTCTTTTTATTGTCATTGTAAATTTTATTTATTATCATAAAAATTATAAATATCGTATATCTCAAAAAGAAAAGAAAGAAAATTATGAAAAAAAATGAAAATTGAAAATATTTTAATTTTGTTAATGTATATGAATATATTTGAATATATTCAACATGTTTTACATTTTATATTTTATAAATAATTAAAGCATCTTATATTTAACACAAATGTTTAAGTATAAAAAATTTTAATCTGCCTTTGGAAATAATCTATGAGCAATAATAATCTCTACATAACTTTATCTAATTTAAAACAATATTTCGTATCATAATATACTTCTCTAATATTATAGATAAAATGATGATTTCATTTGATGAGTAATACAACCTATAATATTTTTTATTTAGGCGAATGAAGAGACATTTACAATAAAGCAAAACATTTATTGAAACGATTTACATGAAAAATTTACACATATATCATTTTAAATAAAAAAAAATATAACTTTTTATTTATTATTTATATTCTCATGTAAATTTATATATTATTTATAAAAATATAAATTTTTATATTATATTTATATTCCCAGTAAATAAATATAAATTTGAAAGGTAATTTATAACATTGTATAAGAATATTTATATAATTACATTAAATTTATATAATTTATATAATCTTATTATAATATCTTATTATAATATGCATCTTGAAATATTTTATGATAAAGTAATTACTTACATTCAATAGTTTATGAACATATATTATCTTTCTGTCTTTTTTTTTAATGGGATTAAAAAAAATATTATTTAGTCATTATTTTCTCTTTTTAATTATTTCTCTATTTCAGTAAAATATTGAAAATATGAAAATTCTATTTTACGCAACTACGCTGTATGTAATTACGAATAATGTTATATGCTTCAACCGTTCCAATAAATTACAATGTAAAGACGAAAAAAATGTACCAGTGGATTGGTAAATATTTATACAGTCAAATTTTTTATCAATTAAGATTTATACAATCTAAAAAATACCGTTTTTATTTTACTTTCAGCATAGTTATTTATGTATAAATAAAGTCATTTGAGTGATAATGAGGAATCATTTTTGTGATGTAAAAATAATGATACAAAAATAATAAATATAATAATGATATAAAAACTAATTTAATTGTAAATTTAAAATGGTACTATATTTTAGGTATGTGCTTTATAAGTTACCAAAAGTTCAAACAAGCAGTAATCCTTTAATTAAAGAAGGTCTTGCTTATTTATATATAACAAATATAACCATTGGAACTGGTTGGCAATTGTCTTCTAAATCTATCAGTTCAAACAATTCCATCCCTGGAATTACATTAGCGTCTCTTTACGATCGTGTAAGTATTTAATAAACACTAATTACTAACTGGGTCTGTTAGTAACAATAATATATTTAATTAGAACTTTTATCGTAATAGTAAAATGACGAATTATTAAAAAAGAAAAAAGAAAGAGAAAAAAGAAAAAGTTGACCATTATAGTGTTTTATTACATAGGATAATAAAAATGAAAGTATGTGGAGCTTATATAACGATAGTCCACCAAATGCATCTTATGTTTGGAACTTTGGTCATACAAAGGGTATAGTGATGGCAAATAGTGAACAAGGATTTTGGTTAATTCACAGCGTTCCAAATTTTCCTCCAGTTCCCAAAAGTGGTATGCAGACTCGACCATTAAATAAGGATAATATAGCTATCGACGGCAAATACAATTATCCAGAAAGTGGAACGTTTTATGGTCAAAGTTTTCTATGTATTTCCCTCGGTAGTGATCAATTTGATATTGTTGGAAAACAATTATTATACAACGAAATAGCAGTGTATGCAAAAAATATTCCTGATATACTTGGTAAACAATATCCGGTCCTGAAGAATGCGACTAATCAAAAACGTGTCAAAATGCCTCCCTATAACCACAAAGCCGTAATAAGATCCTTAGGAATGATTGAATTCACTTCGTTTGCTAAGAATGGAAAATGGGGAAAAGGTAAATAAATTATGTTTATAAAACTATATATATTTAAATATTTTATAAGATATATATATATATATATATATATATATATATA